AATAAGGTGGGATGGTAATGTTGGTCATATATTGTTAGGTATTAAATGAAGTGTAATTACCTCAAATTTTCCTTATCTTTTTACCTAGCAGATTTTTTTTTGTTTTCCAGACTGATAATAGATAACACGGATAGCAAGTAGTCATTCCACCTATCATCAGCAATTTCCTCTTTGGGTGTTGTGTGCTGACCGGACATCATCCTTCTGGTCATTATATAATTATTCCACTCATCGTTAGCAGCGATAGCGAGAGCAACGACGCTAATACCTGTTTTTCGGTTCTGTTGATCGGTTTTATTCCTTTTATCTTCTTTCGAAGCTATGATTCGACGAAGTCCACGGTTTTGGTTTCTCAATTGTTGCATTTCGCCACAGTCGGAAGTACGTTTATCGTAACTTACATATATTTAGAACCTCTAACTTTGCATATGGTGTTGCACTTCAATAATTATGACAGGGTAGTCCAGCCACCATTTTAATAGATTTATTTCTCATTTTTTACTGGCAGGTTTGTAAATTTTAAATTTGTGTAAAAAATATTGACATTTTCATTTAGCTCAAAAGGGAGTGCGGATTAATTTTTGAATCACCGTTTAGACATGGCAGAATTAAGCTAAATTCATACTGTCCTTACTTGTTGAGCTCCCCAGATTCCATTTCCAAACTGAAGAAGAAGGATCGGCTAAGAAACATTAGTTTATTTACGCGTTTTCGGTTAGCGTCAAGCTGAAAACTTCCTTACAGATAGCCCGAATAAGGATAGATCGTTCGATGATTGGCGGTCCAACGGATTTCCGACACATTGGACATATGGGTGCAAATGATCTCAACGCTACATTTAACGTGATTTTTTTGTTTTTTTTTCATTTTATGACTTTTTTTTAGTTTTTCATTTCTTCTTTGCAATCCTTGCACTTTTTTTTTGGAGAAGCAAAACTTTAAATGCACATTTAATATTTTTTCAGCATTGTATTTGTCATTGTCTGTTTTAGTTTTACGAAACTTCGTTTCCCTAATTTTTCGACCTCAAGTTTTGCACATCAGTTAAGGATATTTCACTTATTTCATTTACATATCACTTGGCTGGTAGATTGTTTAGTTAATGAAGAATTGGTGCACTGTGTAGTATTAAGGTTAAGGAAATGTGTTGCTTCAATTTTGATCACTATTTCAATTTTTTCCGCTAAAAGATTAATGCAACATCTCAATTTCAGGTTGATGCAGTAAGTACCTTGCTTAGATCAAAGGGTGATGATTCTTTTTCATTGCCGGTACCACAGCATCTTCGGGCAAGTGATGTACCGATTAAAGGTAGTTTTCGAATTTTTGATTATTTCAGTGTTTCTTATTAGCCTTTACAAAAAGTGCAGGAATATGACTGCGTATGTTGTGGGGGATATAAGCATCCGTGTGTTTAGGTTTGAACATACTGAAGTATTCGATTAGAGAGAGGTAGGTAAACCCTTGTATGATGCTAAATACAGTTTGATAGAAAGAGTTCATATTCTGAGTGGATACCAAATGAAGAAATACAGTCTTTATTTGGTATTATATTATTGGAAGAAAAATTTTCAAAAAGTGGAATGAATTGTCAGCCTAGCCTTATACTTAAGGCACTTTGGGAAATTAAAGTATTCTTGGGAAGCAAATGATTTCAATTCCTTTTTTTAGCTCAGTAATATCTTCGAATATTTGTTTATTAATGAATCAAGTGTTCTGTCACGAAAGAAGGAGAAAGAAGAAGTGATGCTAAAGTCGACTTATATTACGTTTTCTTAGATCAACATGTATTCGTTTCCTGGCGGTTTTTGTTATAAATTTCTACAGTGATTCCCCAAAGAATCAATGCTAAAAGCGTTTCCCTGGTTTATCATTAGTGTTGTATTATTTTTTTATTTGTCATTCTGAATTATTCAACTATTTCGAAAGATAACAAAAATATATGAAGGGAAGACGATGGATTGGATGAAATTTACTTTAGTTTTTTATGCGGTTTTTAAAAGGGCTTTTATCATCTTGCTCAGAAAGGTTTTTTCTGTTTAGCTTGATCTGTCTGCTTTGCTTATATATTACTGTAAATATCTGCGTTTAATTTTCCGTCTGTGAGCCATAGCATGCCTTTATCGTCGTCTCCCTTATTTGAAAATATGAACATATAGCTAAGAAGTATTTGTTTTATTGATGTTCGGGTATAAGCCTTCATGTTGGTGGAAGTTATTTAGTTTGCTTTCTCCTTTTTACCTGTTTAGCCACCATTTTTTTCTACTAAGCAGCGGCAAAAAATAAAAGTATTTCCCTGATTTGTTTCACTGGAAATACTTTAATAGAAACTGCATTTCCAGCACACCAAGTGCTATCATTTCATGAAGAATGAATTTAACTTTAAAGGATTAAACTTCATTTGATTTCTTACGTTATGGTATTCCGAGCATGAGAAAGTTTCCTCTCAGAAAGAAACAGAACTTAGTGAAAAGGGAAAGGGTGAAATTTGTACTCGAAAATCTATTTGAAATATGTCCCTTAACTTCATGTATTTACAGCACTGCGTTTATCTCTGTACCCCAGTAGTAGCAATATAATAGTAGTAGTAGTAGTGTTAATAGCTTGATTTGATGTTTTGATCTTCTCATTTCTCCGAGTTACTCATCTAAACATATCATTGTATTATGCTGTACATTTTCTGTTGAATAATGAAAGTGCTTTCTCGTCCTCATCCTATTATACTCGACCCAATAGATTATTATTTGTTTGCATATTCCTGTCATATTACTTTTACTGATCCGCACTGTTGTACATTTTACGCGCTTATATGATTTTATGCAAATAAAAATATATGGATAATACTTGACCTTTTAATTTATTTTTCTGTGCACGAATTCGGTACACGATATTACTGCTCGAACTTTACGATGTTGCAGTTTTTTTTTCCGTAACACTTCGAGCAATAGGTGATATGTCCTAGTTAAACACTTCTCAAGGATCTGTTAATTGTTCAAAGAGAATGAGAATTAAGCTTCTCGAACGTAATCGCAGTATGTTAATAAACCATGCTTTTTTTTTTTCATCAATGTGAATATCTCAGATATCATCAGATTTCTAGAGATAAATTTTTAAATTTCGCCTAAACTATCTGGAAGAGTGTAATTAAAAGATATCTGGAGATTACCACCTGTTTTTTGTGGAATGTAAAAGCAATTAAAAAAGTTTAATTGGTTCATTTATCTTGGAATTTCACTTTTTGCCCTTTACATATCATACAATCGTAATGGCAAGAAAAAAAAAAGACTTGAAGCACTTTTCGAGCACGAATGCTATATTATTGAAAATTTGAGTTGTAAAATATAAAATTTCGCTGGAAATACGAAATTTAGAAATAACGAAGTAAACAGTTCAATTCCTCATATTCATAAATATAGATATCAGTAATCATGCAGTCAAATCTATATCATCTTTTTCCGGTGGCATTTCTTTCTAATTTTTCACGTACTTCTTCCAGAGTGATACGTTTACTCATTAGTCGTAACACCTTTGACCTTGACCGAGCACCCTACAAAATAACTTCATTTAATCCGGAAGTTTTTGGATACATACATATATAATGCGATAAATTTTTTTAATATGTTGAAGTGAATCAAAGATTATATGAGATACGTATCGTGCTACATACATAGGGTACTCGGAAACTATTGTTTACGCATCAAAATTTAATGAAAAGCTTTGGATAAGACTTTGGACTTTCTTCTCACATTCATTCTATGTGAACTTTAAACATTGCTTTGTAATTTCTTATTTACATCTTATATCGAAGATTTCAAAAGTTAATTCATCTAATGATTCGAACTTTTCAAAATTTTCGAACATTTCTAAAACTTAAAATTTTCAAAAACATAAGAATTTGACTAATCGTAATGGATATTACCACTGTTTAAGGTATCACTATCTGCTGTACACTGATTTATCACTTATTTGCTTTTTGATTTAGTTTAATCCATTTCTCAATTCATAAAGAATATCTTATTTCGGAATTTTTCATTCCTTTATTTTCCTCAATTATATACATTTTTTTGGCTATTCTGCTACTATAACTAATTTTTCACTTTGCTATCATAAATAGTTTTCTTTTTTTTCTTTTTGTATAAAATAGCGTGGATGTAATTTACCGTATCAAACGTAATTTCATTTTTACGTAATTCCAGAATATCCATCATAGCATTAATCAATGCTTCATTAGCTTGACCATCATGTGGTGGTGCCGCAATTGCAAGTTCAACTTCGTTCGCACCAATATCTAAAATAAAAAAAAAAAATGCTATTACCATACTGTTTTCAGTTAAGTAAAAGACTCATTTCAACAATCTTTTTTGCAAAATGAATTTAATGAAATTTAATCTTAATTAGCTTTTCTTAAGAAGATATGAAATAGCAAGAAATTTTTCTTTTTTACTTTAATTTTACAAATAGATGATTGCTTATGAATAATGAGTAATCATTTGTTGTGTTAATACATAAGAAAAATTGTTGTACCTATAACACGTGTTGTTTTTGCATTAGGTTTTGCATGTATCCTGAGTATAATGTCGCCATTTTTATTTAGTGATATGGCACTATCTTTCAGTTTTTCCTAAAAATTCCGCATTTCAAAATCATCGTATTATGTTCAAATGAATTACTGAACGAAAAAAAAAATCGCAATCGTCTTCTACTTTTCAATACAATTTTGAAAGTTATCTTAATCTTAAAAGCACTTTTGCCACTTACATCCTGTAATATTTCACTCTTTTAATGTGCAAAATATCAAGAGCAAGTATTTTCCCTCACCACAAATTCAAAATGATCATTTTTTTTAAGGAAATTTATTTTTTTTTTTTGAGCAACATCAAATTTTGTTAAACAAACCTTATTTGATGTATTCATTGTCACAGAAACCATCCCTTCTATTTTGCTTTTATTTTTGCCCATTTTTCCAGTTATAACTCTGCAAAATCGAAACATTTACTTCCTCCGCTTATCAATGCTAAACAATATGACAATTATTAAGAAAAATAGATGACATATTCCTACTGTTTTATATGTTGAGCAGATACATTTACTTATAATCGAGTTATATTATATACTTATATTTATATTATATACTTATATCATGTACTTATATTTATATTATATACTTATATTTTCTCTTTGTTATCTTCTCCTTCTCATGTTACAAAATATCTTCCCTCCAATCATACATGATTTATAAGATTTACGCGAATAAATCCATATAGCTTCATATATTAATTTAAACTTTAAAGTTTTTTTTTTAGAGCTTACCTACTGTAAACCCGATAACTGTTTAGATATATTCGAGTAAGCATTTATTCAGAAAAGAATTCGTCTATTCCCAAAATTCATTCCCTTTCCACACTTCTTTTTAAATTCTACAACAGAATTGAACAGTTGTTTGTTGTCGAAAAATATCTGAAAATTTATCATATCTAAAATAAACAAATTACAAAATTTTAGCTATGTAGTATTCCTTATAATAAATAGCAACCAGATCGAGATCGAATTTCAGTATATAATAATCATTCCAATTTTCAGTCGCTTTTTACTTAGGCATAATCATTTAATTATTCTTCAGAATGTATTAGGTATATTGTTATGCCTGTTATCCTTATCATAATTTAATCCTCTTTTCCTGTATACTTGAATTCTAGCCAGTTACCGATCTAGTCTTCTCAAGAAAAAGAAAAAAAAAACCAAATTACAAATAAGTGAATCAGAAATCAAAGGATGAATCAGTACTAATCACATCCAAGTAAGATGAATTAAAAAAAAAAACTTTCAAACAAAACTTTTCTTTCCTCTCTATTCTTGATGAGCTATGCTAATATATCTAGTTGGGAAATGTTAAATCAATAGCTATTGTACGCACATTTTGCATGTGTTATATCACTTTTTTTTAATTCGATCAAAAAAGAATTTTTTTTTTTCAGATTGACTTAATATTTATCTTATTGGGATGACAGATAATAAAAAGAAAATGGATAATCAAGAGAAAACAAGGAGGAAAGATTATCCAAATTCTGATGGCAAAGTACACATGGTATTGGATCAGTTTATTCAATACTTATATTCTCTTGTTTTTGTACAACAGGTAATAGTAATCTTTTAATTCATTAAAAAATTATGTTTAATTGACAAGCACTGAAGTATGTTTTATACGTTTTACTTACAATTTTACTATGTCACTAATATATTTGCATAATTCCACCTTTAATTTGCTTTTTTTTTTTTTCAGATCCTTAACATATATAATCGGATCAAATATAGCAGCAAAAATCTGGAAAAAACATTTGACAGAATTGAAGAAGGGTTCAAAGTAGCGTATGTTCATTCACTGGATCTTTATAATCGATATCAACAGACTAGTGTGAATGGTATGTTTATGTTGTCGAATTCGGTATCAAGTATTGTCAGGATGAGACAAAACTTAAATAAAATTATTAAAAAAAACAACTTTACAAGCATTGAATTAGAAAGTCCTCAAATTGTAAATTTATTAGTCAGTTTATTTTCCAGCACGATAAAATTACAAATTTCAGATCAAGCAAAACATGTATTGGAAACCGTGTTTACATTTGGACTAAGTATTATCGTAATAATGATACAGCTTAATCTAACAGTCTTAATTGCTATAATTACTATGCTCTTCAGCGCCATATTTAGTGGAAAAGAAACACTGGAGCATGCTTTCCAATCAACATCGGTTTTTACTTTCAATTGCTTATTTCCATGCTTTCCTAAAGAATAGAATATATATACGTTATTTTTGCACTATACGTCCGGAAAAGTTAATTCTGGTATTTAAATATATGTCGGACTAAGTAGGCAGGCAATGCTTAACATATCTAGTGTCTACCGTAGTCTACCAGGAATTTTTTTACCTTAAAATATGATCTTCTGCAACAGGTAACTCAGTTATATTCAATTAAGCATTAAGTTACACTATCGCATAATTGTCATTGACGTATCGTTTGAAGAATGAATCAAATAACTAGGATCCTTGCATATAAAAAAAGAAGAATCTTCTAAGAATAATTATTTGATTGCACTCTTAGTCTTATTAGCTGGTGCGTTTTCAAATACTAATAAACGAAAAGCCACTCATACTGATAGAGTGAGCGGTGAACCTACCGAAATTATTAATTAAAATGTGACTGGTTGTTCTTATGAGTGCAAATTTTTTATGATTACAAATTGCTACCTATAATGTAACACCTTCATAATTTAAGTGAACTACGGAGCGAAGACATAACGTTTACCAATTTTACTCATTACTTCATAATTAGCAGTAAAATTAAAATAAGTAATTAATTGACAATATGAACTTCTTTATGATATTGATGATTGATCGTATTTTCGTCCATTAAGAAATCTTTAAAAGGGCAGTACTAATATTCTAACATTATTTTATCATATTCTATCAAAATGTTTTATTAATAAGTGTAAAGTTTTAGTGAGATTTCTTCTTTTAAGCGCAAATATTTAAATAACAAATTTTGTTATGATGATGATTGGACAGTATGCAAGATAACAGTTAAAGTCAGATGGTGATTTACAGAATGCACAAGCAACAGCTCGACAAATGGTAACCGATTTGTCTGAAAAAGTGCAACAAATTTCACGAGTAAGTTCTGTATAATGCTAGTAAAGATATAAATTAAATATCATTGAGAAATATGAAAGAATTTATCTGTTAGCCAAGTATATTGTCAGTAGATTATGGACTTGTTCTACTTGATTATTTCTCATTCCCAATTGTATCGAGATCTTATTTTGATTTTTTTTATCCTGACTATTTCATGATGACGCAATAGCTTAATTATTTAAAGAAGTAAATGCTACATGCTAAAAAAGCAGAGAAAGAATCGTCAGGAGCAAGAGCAAGGGAAAGGATAGATGAAAGATGGACTTGAATATTTGCGGTTACTACAGCAGTGTTTGCGAGAAGCAGATTATATTAGGAAATTAATCTGTTTTAAAAGTTACACTGATAAAAAATGATAATTGTCATTTTAAGGCTTCTACTGAAAAAGCTGAGCAGCAAGCGAATCGCATCTTGGATGAGGCCAACAGGGTAGCCCATTTAACAATGGGTGTATCAGACGAAAGCAATGATATCGAGAGAACACCTTGGAATCGTTTCCAAGATCTTAGTCATCGTATCTTGGAAAATTCGAAGAATCGTGTTGGAGGACTTTTATGGACGAAATTTGATGCACAGAGCATTGTGGAATGCTTGAGTAATTCCATTTCACTGGTATGATTTTTATTTTGGTATGAACACAGGCAATTGTCTTGGGTTCGTTTAAGCGATATATTATCATACGACCCACAAACAAATCTGAAATTGCCACGAAGTGAATCCAAAATTTTCCCGGATTAAAGAATTGTAAAAATTGAGAGCTCTAAAGCAGTTATTTTCCTCAAGCTCTTGCCGTTATAAACCGAAAGAAGTGAACAGTACAACTTCATGAGACATGATTTCTGCAGGATTTTGCAGGGAATTGATATATTACCAGAGGAAATGCTAAGAAGAGAAATTGATATATTGCAAAGAATTGAGATGTCACCTGGAAAGAAATGTTGATATATCGATACATCACAAGAAATTGATATATTACTTCGGAAGAAGTAATAAAAAAATGGATTCTGTTATGTGTTCCAAATTTCAGGCTGACATGATACGTAAAAATAAGTCATGGGCTGCTGGTAAGGTTGGAGAGTTACGAACATCGCTGAATGAGTTGAAGGTATCTTTGGAGATGGAAGGAGAACGTTTGAAAAAGAATCCCGAAGAAATGCTGATGCACTATCTACAACAAACTTCATCTATTTTACCTGAGCGACTTCGCATGTTGGAAGAAACGACTGGAAAAGTAATTCTTGTACTATATAGTTTTATGGATTTATGTCCTTAAAATTGACTAAAGATGGAGAAAGACTTTATTTGTCTTACGAACCTCTTTTTTTGTTTCTCTGCTTTTTCTTTCCTATTATTTTATCCTTACTATTACTGTTTACTTCTTGCCCTGTAACTTTCTTCGTAATCATCATGCCTTTTACTTGTAACTACTTTTCATTAGGTTCCCTGTGTGTTGTTGTCTTTGAAATTATGAAGGCAGGAAAAGTTAAGCGAGCTATTGTATCATCTAATTAGCGTACTCGCATTACTAATTATTCGCATTTCAGGTGCTGAGTGAACAAGCCTCAAGAAAACTAGTTACTCTAATATCTTATATCGAACAACTGAATGAAAAGCTGATGGAAGCTGATAATGTACACGAATTGAAAGATGAAGTAAAATTTTCTTTCGAGTTTATGTTCGGAAACTTTCCTCGACTTCAACAATAGCAACTTATTTGTAATAGCCTCCACTTTTTGCAAAAAAAAAAGCTTTTTTGAGGAATTATTTCTATTTCACCCGAATTTTTCTTTTCAAGCAGTGGGAAAATAAAAACAAACCGTAATTTATAGGTTCTCAAGGAGGCACATGACCGTCTAATTGATTTGCTGCAGTGGTTAACAGATCACGCAGATTACGGTGAAAATGCTGCGGAAAATTTGGAATCGGTCAATGAAGAGTCAAACTAATTAAAATGACTGTGATTAGTTATTAACCGCGTCTATTTACACTACTTCATACCCTCTCATTTCTATTCAGGCAAATCAAAAAATATTTTCCACTATGCTGACTTTCAGTAGTATGCGCACTCAAGAAACGGCATGAAAATTTAATAAATTTGAAAATCTCATCTAAAGTTATTCTCTGAATACCTGTAGTAATTAAACGTCGTGATAGGGAAGGGTAATTCCTGATCTACCTACCAATTTAAACTATTGATTGTAAGGCATGTAAAATTGTGTTGCTTACCACAGAAATAACACTAAAGGATAGATCCGGAATGCATGAAGTACTGGATTCAGAATATTTAGATCTTGAAAATTGCGTCATATGCAATAATTGCATATCGTCTCCTGGGAATGCCGAAATTCAGGCTAGTTCTAAGAAATGTCCTCTCATTATATTGTCTCAATTTAATTAGAACAAAGTGGGAGAAGAGAGGGTTGCATCGTATTTCGTCATTTTTTCTTGTGATTACTTCTCTTTATGTGTGTATCTAATTAGTGACGTTTACATAACATCACAGTGTCCCTTACTTATGCACTGTTGTCTTCATCTCTCTATTTTGTCCTCCTGTATTTATTTTTTTTTCTGTATTTTAAAAATAATCATTATTTGCTACTTTTGCTGCTATTTCTTTTTTTGATAAAAATAAGGCCTTGATTCATTGAAACTTTATTTCATTCAGGACAGTAAGGGAGGTCATTAATACGCTATGAGACTGTATAAATTTAGATGTATACTCGATCTAATAATGCTCTAATCAAATGAAAGTAATTGAAATAAATGGTAGCGAGAAGTTAATCAATACGGTGTGAAATCATCTATAAGAGCATCCATGTGGAATAGTTGAGACAATCTCTATGAATTATCAACAACAGATGTGATTAGCAATTGAAACTTGAGGAAATGAACTATGTAGCACTGATAAAATATAGCTGATTGAGTTCTAGTAACCTTCTATTCCTATTTCATAATTTTAACGATAGATGAAAGGATAATAGAACAGGTAAACTCGAAATGTGATATCAACATCCTCAAATTTTCGACATACATAAATGCATTGATTAAAAAATCAATAAAATTATCTTAAGTGCTAAAAGACTGTAGAAATTGAAAATCTCTTATAAAGGATTGAACGGTCTTACGTCTTTGGGAATGGCAGAGTGAAAGAAGTAATGGACAAAACATTTATTGATGTACAACAATTTCAATCAACAGTTAATAAATACATTGAGAACAGTAGCAACAATAATACACCAAAACACATGTTAGATTAGATGTCGAAATCCAAAAGAACAAATCCAATCCTAACAAATTTTTAGTCAGAAATTATCCGATATACTAGGATCAACTTTAAAATTCTATAATTCTCTTGATGATTTCGAGGCGATCCTAAAGTTCTACTAGTAAAGATTTAAAAGATAACTTCACATATCTCAACAGGTTTTTGCATTAAATACTTCAATATTCCTTAATCACAAATCAGTAGCACAAATATCACAGTGTTTGACAAGTATTTTCGATTGATCCGTTTTTGATTAACGGAGTGGTTGTAATTTATATATCCGAAAGATTATCCAAATAAAAGTTTCGCAACAATAACGACGATGTTGATAGCAATAAGAGGCACTTTAAAAAATATTTTCATTTGAACACATAAACGTGTCGAAAAAAATGACACTTTCTAATAAACCACTTGAATATTCCCCAATTAGTTTACCAAAAGCAAATCCCTAAGTGGACTAAAAATTAACCAAAAAAATATGCCCGTGGAGAAATTATTCGAACAAACAAGTCAAAAATCCCATGATCATGAATAGGAAGTGTTATTGTCTAAATAATCCCATACTCCGATATTTTCATAATTCTGAATTTTCGCTTCTACACTGCAATGACTTTAAAGTACTAAAGGGATCTTTTCTGGAATAGGACAAAGTCCCTTCTCTGTTTTACGTTTACCAACATCATCTTGTGAATCACCTGTGATTCCCACCTCCCAGCAATCTCACTCCTCTATACATGGAAAGCGTTACAATTAATGAAGAATCAATCTTTTATTAATTATATACTAACCTCGCATAACTGTTTGTACCGCAGCAATGAGATTCACAACCTGCATTTTAAAAGATGATGGATTCACAACTTCGAAAGAATTGCTCGGTACCGAAAGGCCAACCTGGAAATACATCTCCCATTTAAATTTCATTTTATGAATTACTAGCTTTCAAGATACTTCACTTGATTATTTGGCTTTAGTCGTTACTCATTTCTTTTCACTACGAAAATATCTCACACTTGTCCCAGCAATATTTACCTCCCTCATTCATAATTAAATCCTTGCTATGACTCTTAGCATACATTCATTTTGTACATTCTGATTAGGGATAAAGGAAATAAGAAACCAAAAGAAAAAAGTCTTACCTTATTTAAAAAGCGTTCCCTGTTGAGTACAGCAATTCCATTTAAGACAAGTAAACCTGCTTCTAGCAAACCATAAAATGAAATAACCATGCTTACTCACTTCAAACCACAACGGAACTTCAGCGCCAAGTTCGACTGTAAATGTAAATAGGATCTCTCAACACGACTATCATTTCAAGCTTCATATAAAAGTTGAAATTTATCCCTAACAATAATTCCTTCCTCAATTGCCTA